TTTGCCCCAGTCTCTTCCAGTCAGCCTCTGAGCTGGAGCAAGGCTGGACAGGTTTCTGATCCTTGAGACTAGAACCCCTTTGAGGGTCGACTAGATGACAGAATGTTAACTCCCAGTACTTGGATCCCGGGTGGTCACAAGCTAAATTATACTTAACATCTTAGGGGGCTTGGACTGAACTTTGTAAGGGAAGTCCAAACTCTAAGATTGGGTTTTTTAAGTTCAAACCTTTTTCTAAAACTTGAAAACTCGTTACATTCATTATTCAGCAAACTTTTGAGTACTTGTGTGCTATGTGGGAAAAATGGGGCTCGTTTATATGAAGTCAATATTTTTTGATCCATTTCAAGTATTGCCTGGGAGGGAAACATCACTTTTACTTAGATGTAAAACTGCCACAGCATTCCATTCTACCTACCCCCACAGAGGGCTTTCTTCTGAATCACAGAGCTTACCGTTTTCTTTCTTGAATTAAGATTATCCAGAAATTGCATGCCCCTTTTTGGTTTGTCTGTCTGTTGCTTTTTTTCTATGGGCTCTTAAAATAATGAGTGCACAGCATTATTCCTCTTGGGATAGTGAGCTGCCTCGAACTTTTCCAGAGGCGACGTAACCCCTTCCCCCCAATTCCATAGCTCACAGTTACTGTCTTGTTCCTGCACAGCCTCAGATCTCAGGCACCAGGCCACACAGCAGGCCTTTATGTTCCCACCCTACTGGGTCACCTGATGCAGTGACAGTGTCAGAGCATCCCTGCTTGCCTTTTTATCCACGGTACTGGATGAGTAAGTTACCACCACCACCTTCAATGGCAACTAAGGACATAGTTTCTTCAGCGGAACTTTCTGGAAACAGCTACATTGATTTCTTCTTCTTCTTCTTCTTCCTCCTCCTCCTCCTCCTCCTCTTCCTCCTCCTCTTCTTCTTCTTTTTCTCCTCCTCCTCATCCTCCTTCTTCTTCTTCTCTTCCTCCTCCTCCTCCTTCTTCTTTTTTTTGCAAGAGTACTATGGAATCTCTCTCACGAACCCTGCCTATTGTTTTTTGTTTGTTTGTTTGTTTTATTTTTTTTTCTGGGCACAGTTAAAGAAATGTGTCCCCACGTGTACAGGCAGCATGGTGAAATGGAGAGCAGGCGGGCATGACTCAGCTGGCTTGGACTCAACCCTCCACTTGTCTGGAGTTTGGTTTCTTCCTTGCAAACCACTGAGATGCTCTATGGCTTCTGTGACTGTCTAGAAGGTCATGATGATCTGAGCTCACTGCTGCCTCCTCTGGGCTCCTGCGGAACCGCATCTCATTTTTATATCATGTGATTTTAACCATCTGAACTTAAGTCTCCTATCCCGGGAATTACCGCCTCTATAAGATTAGGAGACTCCTTAGGGAAGGAAAGACATCTTAGTCCCAGGAGGCTTTAATCATGGTGGAAAGACATGAGCATATTAATTTTTTTCATTAATTTAAGGTTTTCTTTGCATAGACTTCTTGAACCCATGGTGTCTAGTTTAAAAGGACATCTGATTTATAATGCTGTATTTTACTTGTCCTGATGAACTAAACATTTCATGGGGTTCTGCCAAGGCTCCAGTAAGCGGCAGCTCCATTTTGGTAGCAATCTGGAGCCATACCACTGTTAACTCTAGATTCATGATCTTCCTGGAAGTTACTGGAGCCCAAAGCTTAGACTCTGTCTTTTTGAAGCATTCATATTCTATAGTCTAGCAACTTCTTGCTCACAGTCCAAGCATTTACTAAGTCCACAAAGTCCCATGTTGATATGCCACACTGATGGAAAGCTGAGTGGAGCGATGTAGCTGGCCTTATTAGACTTACACCATTTGCATGAAAAGGCTGAGTTTCTTTGGCTCTTTGTTCATTCAAGGGCATTGAATGCCTGTGGGGATGGGTTTAGGCATCGAGTTAGTCTGTCAGTAAATCTTGCACCGGCCACAGTGTTCTGCAAGCTGATTTCGGATTTGGACTATAACCGGCCACTGGTAGAAATATACCATATGTACACATGGAAATTACAAAAATACATTTTATTTATAGCTGATTTCTTATTAAGTAACAAAAGACTAACGCTATGAAAGATCAACCAGCATACTAAAAGGGGGCTACCTAACATCATCCCCACAAGAGACTTGTCTAGGGATTCCACAACATTATCATATCTGAACATTCCAGAAAGGACAGTTTGCCATAGAGAAAGAAAAACAGCTTCTTGGGAAAGTTCTGTGCTTTGACAGTTTGAATATCCCGTTCTAATCAGTTCCAACCCTATTCTCCTCTTTCTTCCTTTAGTAAAGACCAAAGAAACTCATGAAGACAGTGCATAGATGGGTTCAGAGGGACACGGTACAGCGGAAGCGAGATGATGGGTCATGGGTAAAGGCAGGGTAGGACCATGTTCCCCAATACACACCAAATTGGCCCACGGACACCATACATGGCTCCCAAAGCTAAGGCGGAAACTTAGAGAGTTTCCTTTACTTCCGGAACCCCCAATCAGTTTTGTTTGCACAGAAGGGTCATCTGTGGCTGGCACCCCAGAGCTACAAGGCAGTATTTCCACCCAGGACTCTGTAGGCTGATGCTTCATACCATGGAGAGTGACAAGGGACATCACTCCCCCAAGGTAGCCGCATCCCTGCCATCTCAGCAAACGTCCTACTGTGTCCATCCACTATGGAGAACTGGTGAACTCCACAGACTTTTTAAAAGATGCTTTAATTTAATTTCAGATAAGATTTTCTACATTCAGAAGTTTCTAGGAACAGAGGCTGCAGCTTGGGGTGACTGTGGATCCACCTGTCCTATGTCTAATGCAGCGATGGTCTGCTTCATACCTCTCAGCAATGCGTGCTGCACGCCACTGAGTAGGAGACAGATCTTGTTAAAGTTGATGTATCTATTATTCCCTCCGGATGGCCAGGTTCTCCCGCCATCTTCAATACAGACAAAGCAAAACCTCCACAAACAACTGCTTCTCTTTTGTAGGCTCCCAAGCCTCTTAGCACCGGTTCTCTTTCATATGGATACCGATTTGCAGGAGGCTCTATTTCCAAAATGAGAACACCTTTTAAACAGCCTGTCAACACAAGTCTGCCATTCTGGCCCATCAGCTCTCTTTCTTGGCCTTTAATTAACAGGTGGGGGAAAAGGAGTCAGGACTATTTATAGGCACAGCCATTGGAACTGATTTCCATCCAATTCATTTGACTTTGAACATGAGCCTTTAAAAGCAAAGAGAATCAAGTTTCTTGGCTGGAGAGTCAGTATCTCCCTTACAGACTAGAGGTGATTTTTTTAAAGCGATCACGGTCATGGCTCAATTCAAGAGTACAGTCTGGTGGTTAATCACACTCCTGTGTTGCCTTTAACACAGAAAGAGAACATGCAGAGGTCACTGAAGACAGAGCGGCATTCTCTCCCTTCTGGTGATTTATGAAAATGGGACGTTGGGCAGGAACCAGCTTGTGCCTGTCACGGCGAGGGCTCCTCAGGGACAGTCCACCCACAGTCCAAACATTCAGCCCAACAGAATAGCAAGCACAGGGTCCCCAGCAGGGACTTGTTGACACACACATTGGCTGCAGAAGTCAGAATCCAGTGGTTCACAAGTTTCTGGTTTTCCAGCAGCTCTAGTGTTGATTTTCTTAGAATCCGAGGATGAGAAAGACCTTGTGTATTGTTATTTATTATCTGGAGCCTCCACACATTAGGGGAGAGGAACTCAAAGCCTGTTGGCTGCCTCACAGTCTTCAAGTACAGATCCCCTCAGAGTTGAGGCTTCAGACCTGGAACTCAAACATGTCTGTCTGCTTCTTGGCCAACTTGGCTACTTCTTCTCGGATAGCCTTCACAAGGGCTGCAGTGGAGATGTTAGTCAACGGAGTGTCTGGAGGCTCATTTTCTGTCAGGCTCTGCTGTGAGGCAGCTGCAGAGGGGACAGGGGCCTGCTCTAGGCTAGGGTGAAGGTTGGTTGGCTGGCTATACTGGCGAGGGAGCCTGGAGGGGGAGCTCTGTTGATAACGTGACCGGGGGTAGGCCTCGATGTACCCAGGAAGAGGGACCTGCACAAGAGGTTGGAAGAGAAGAGAAGGCACTCAGTTTCGGAGGAAGCTCAAGTCATAAGATACCAGAAGCAGGATGGGGAAGAGGTCAAGGAAAGAGGTTTAGAGGAGAATTGAAATCATGGGCTATCGCACAGCTATAACCATCCAAACCTGGAGTCAGTTTCTTTAGCAAATAGTTAGTAGCCTTGGACTCACTAAGTATGCTGTCTGGATAGATTAAATAGATGTCTTTCAACCTAGCTGAAAACATTAATAATATACTGGAGCTCACAGTTGAGTGACTCTGGCTTTCTTTTTAATTTAAGCACAACTGAGTAAACAGAAGTGTTACAAGTTTTACTAATAACAATGGCTAATATCCATCGAACCCTAATGGTTTTCACACAGTATCTCATTTAATCCTGCAAGCAGCAATCTACTGGTAGGTGTCATTATCCTTATTTCATAGGTGAAAACAATGAAGCAAAAGACAGGACCATCTAAGGAAACAGCCACTGAGCCACCAAGACATTCTTTGCACAGGTGTACCTGGCCCCAAGCACAGAGAATTAGTTTGTGCACTACAGTGTTTTCGATATGGGTACACTATCACATTCTTGAAAAAAAAAAAAAACTTCTTTCATTGAAAGTGGAGACACATCACTCTTTACTTAACTGTATAGAAGTCTCTAAAAGTAAGGCAAACAAAAGACTTCGAATCCAGGAGTGCCTTTCCCACAGAGACAGTATCATATGTGAAATGCTAGTTGGTCCACAAAGACCTGTATATCCCGGGATGCTGGCTGGAATGCTGGAGAAATGAGTACAGAGGACACAGTGGGATATACCGTGGACGATCCTGTGGGGCAGGCACAAAACACGTGCGTGGGGGTGGCATTTCCAGGCTCAAGAGGTTGGACAGGAAGGACAGACAGGTGGGAGAACAAGAGCAAAGGGGTACGGGTGTGTGTGAATGGGTGGGAATTGTGTCCCCCAAGTGTCCTATCTAAAAACAACTGAATGCTAGTCCACAGAGCTTCTTTATTGCATCTACCCATTGTCTTGGACACACTTGTGGGAAGTAAAGGCTGAGTCTCTGTAGTGGGCCTGGTGCCCACTCAGGTGTCATGTGTATCATGTTCACAGACGCACTCGCTGGGCATCACGCTGGTCTTGGTGGTCCCCCCAGCTCTGTCTCCTGACTTCTGGGATTACAGACATGCACCACCACACCCAGCCTCCTCCGTTAACAAGCATGCTCATCTGGGGCCATTGGGGAGGATGGAGCAGGAGAGCTGTCTTAATCTCTTCAGGCTACTGTAACAAAATATCACTGGCTAGGGAGCGTATAAAGAACAGAGAGTTATTTCTTATACCCATGAAGGCTGGGGACTCCAGTGTCTGGTGAGAGGCTCCTTGCTGGTTCTTAACTCCCGCCTTTTCCTATCATTCACATGACCGAGGCAGCTGGGCAGCTGTGCGGAGGCTTCTGAAGGACATTAATCCTATTCACAAGTGTCTTATCCTAACAAACTAACCACCTCCCCAAGACCTACCTACTAAAGCCATCACCTTAGCATTGGGAATTTGGAAGAAGAATCAGAGTGACACAAACATTCAGACATTTTGGATAGGGGAGTACATGGCAGGATGCTGGCCCTCTTGAGGGAGTAGGTTTCTGGGAACCCTTCATGGGCGTCAGCAGAAGAGAAGCCAACTTCATCAAGGTCTGGGTGGATCTGGCAGAAATGGGCTCTGAGGTTGCCTCAGTGGTCCAGGTGAGGCCGTGAGGACCCACTCAAGGGAATTAATTGGATTGATGCCTTAAGTTTGAGTTTGGGGTTTATATTTCTCCATAGAACTTTGTAAATTAAAAGGGGCAAAAAGCTGCTATCATCTCTACACACAAGGACTGAAAGGCTTATCCTGTACTATGGAGGAAGCCCAGATTCAGACTGTCCCACTTATCCAGCAACAAGAGCTAAGAATACATGAGTGACAGGAGCTGACCAAGAACCAAGGCCAGAATACAGGAAGCCTTTAAGGTCACAGCTCAAGTTTGCATTCTTTCTGGGACTTTTCCCAGCCTGACACCAGCCAAGTGTTTCCATGCAGTTTCTCTGGTGTGGCAGACATTCCTCCTGGGGCCATCACCACCTGTCTCAGGCCATCAGTTTTGTGAAAGCAAGCTCCTTCCACCCGTCACGTTCTCTCTGCCTGTCTCATGCTCAGAATTATGCCTAGTATAATTCTCCCAGAGCCTGAAGTTCTGGGCACAGGTAGCAAGTCACTGAAGGATGGCCAGTAGGTGCCAAATGTGTGAGGAGGAAGCTGCTGCATTTCACTGCATGAACCAGAGTAGAGAGACTCAATACACAACACCCTCTGTGACATCAAGCCTTCATGCTAGTGGCTAGAATCAGCAAGGGACAGCCAACTGGGGTGGTCTCAGGAATGGAGAAATGAGGAAATAGGCTCTTTGTAGGCTAGCACCATTATGCTTTGCTGGCCAGAATCCAGAGCAGCAAGTACTACTCCTTGACAGACATCACCAATCCATCACAGCACAAGCTCCTAATAAGCCTATGTTGTGATTCTGAATGTAAACTATATTTCACAGGCTCATGTATTTGAACTTGATCTTCAGCTAGTGGTGATGTTTGGGAAGGTTCTGAAATCTTTTAGAGGTGGGAGAGGGAATAGAGACCATTCATTTCAGATATACTCTATATGCAATGTGGTATGTATTTTTATATTTTAGAAACCAAAGGTGTAAGCTTTGGTTAATAGGAAGGTTTATACACATAGGTTCACCACTGGTGGTGTTGTTGAAACTCTATGTAACTACCTGTTGCAGGGCATGGTGAACCCAGGGCTTTGGACAAAGAGATTGCCAGAGTCTAGTGTCAAGGTGTTTCTCAATGCTAGTAATTTATTCCAAAGGCAGAGACCAATGCTGAAAGTGACCAAAGCATGCAGGGAACATCATGCTGGTGGAGTAGCCTTCCTAATGTATAGCAGGTAAGCTTATGTAGGGACCAGACAACCCACTGAGGACATCATAGGTGGCTCCGTTTTTTTAAATTTTTTTATTTTTTGCATGACCATGTCTGGTAACTCCAAAGGCAGTTAGTTATCACATTCCTATGTGGATCGAAGGGAATTCCCATGTCACATTCCTGCGTGGATTGAAGGGAGATATCAAATGACCAGGACAAACAAAGCCTTGGGTAGAAGTCAAGCAGGAAGTCTTGGGATCTACCATACAGTGGTTTCAGGGTTCCTGAGGCTTCATTTGCTGATATTTGACCTAAACTTTTATAGAATGTGACAACTGAAAAATTCAAGTTAATAAACACTTCAAAGTGTTTGAAAAATATGAATTACAACTCGGGTCTCTGCTCTTTTCTATATGTGTGGCCTTAGACGTTATATCATGAGACTAAGCCTCAGTTTCCTTATCTGCCAAATGGGGGTAGTTGTGGAAATCATAAAACTCACTTGACCAAATTGTGAAGATTAAATAAGACAGTTTAATGAAACATCTGACATGGGGTCTGGCACACACACACACACACACACACGCACACACACACACACAAACACAATACTAAACAGATGGTAGTTACTACTATAAAACTTACTTGGTTAAAGTCACCCTGCTAGGAAGAGGTTGAATGTATGCTAGAAATTAAGTTTCAGATTCCTCCATCAGAGGTCACATGCCTAAACACTGCCTCCTTTAAAATTTCTCACTTCATCCACCAGCATGGTGAGAGGGGTCCTGAGAGAGCCAGACACCGGTCTTTGTCTTTCATCTCATTTTCTCCCAGAGTGGGGAGGCGTGTCTAACAAGGGGAGTTCTATGAGAGCATCAGCAGGGGTCTCACCGAATCAGCCCACTGGCTAGGGAGCTCGTTCTCTCCTGCATAGGACATCCAGGCCTGGCTCCTGTAGGATGAGGGTGGTGTTGGGATGAAGTAGCCGGTGAAGCCGGGTCTGTTGGCAGCTGGGATGGCAAACACCGCTGGCACCGTGTTACCTGCGCAGAGGAAGTGGGTGGAAGATCAGGAAAAGCTGGACTCTGAATCCAGACCCTGACTCAACCAGAGCCAAATAAACCCCATTTCACAGACTACCTGGCTGCCTGGTGGGCCCGAAGTTTCAGTGAATCAGGCCTGACATGAGATGCATGTTATGGGCTATAATTTTGAAGCAGCTCCATATATGGCAGAGGAGACTCAGGCCATAGGGACTCCATCTCCTGTAGAGCAGAGCCCTGGCCACGGGGGCTGAGATTCTAGCTAATGCTACAGCAAGGAGGATGGCTGAGGTGGAGCCTACCTGGCTTTCCTTACTGGAGCTCTTCCAAGGTTACTGTGACTGCTAAGGGGAGCAGGTGGTGCCCTACTCATGGTATTTGGTATAGAGGCCAAGTGGGGCTAAGGTCCAGGCTGTGTTCTCTTTGTAGGGGGTAGGGACTGCATTCACCTTTTTCCCACTTCATGAGCTGCTTCATGGGCTAGCAGTGCCTCCCTTTTACCACCCTCTTATCCCCTAAGAGGAAGTAGAAAGTCTGGCTGGTATCCTTCCCACTGAGCCTGAATAGACTCTAGCTCAGGAAGCTGGAAACCTAGGTAGGCCTCTGACACTGGTCCAGGCTAGGGGATGCAAGGAACAGGTCATTGTGGAAGAAGTAGGGGGCCTGATACAGCCTTCATCACTTGCCTAGTCAATATGGCAGGCATCATCTGTTGTGGCTGAGACTGGCTTTCTAGGCTTTGAAGGTCTGACTCCTTTACAGAACACCTGTCCACTCCCTCATCTTATCCCAAATAGCCTTGACCTTGTCCAGAGGAAAGCACACTTTGGGTGCAGGTGCTTTCTTCCTGGGAGGACATACGGTTTTAAAGATTCAACAAAAACAATCAAAAGGAATGGGTTTCACCAGAGGAATTCCTGGAAATCACAGTTTAATAAGTGTTGACAACTGGTGCTGGCAGGTTTAACCATGAGGGTATGGCATGAATACAATAAAAATTCAACCAGGTCATGTACAAACTAGGGCATGTGCAAACCTCCAGTTCCATTTTGGCATTGTCCGTCAGTGACAAAACAAAAACAAAACCACCAAAAAAACCCTGGAAATGACTCTTCAGCCCATCAAGAGGATGGACCATGGCAGAGCATGTCTCAGGACATCAGCATGGAGGTGGAAATGAGCACCTAACTTGTGCTTACACAGCCTTCTGGAGAAGCTCTGGGAACTTGTTGAGTCAAAAAAAAAAAAGGTGCAGAAAGAATGTGTAGCATATGAGTTTTGAAAATTTAAAATGCATATATCATCAGCATGTATCTTTGTATAGGTACATAGTATAGCATAGATCTAAAACTTAGAGCCGGAGGACAATGGTCACCTTGGGGAGGGATAGCTATAAGTGTCATGCTGTGAAGGTAAAATAAACAGAAACCTGAAATAGGAAGACATAGTGACACTACTTTAACTTCAGCATAACTAGGCATTTTGCCTAGTTTCAGCCTGTCTTCCTTTCCTTTCCCTCCCTTCCTCCCTTCCTTCCTTCCTTCCTCCCTCCCTCTCTCCCACCCTCCCTCCCTCCCTCCCCCCCTCCCTCCCTCCCTCCCTCCCTCCCTTCCTTCCTTCCTTAAGAAGTAAAAACCAGTATCTTTTGGTTGATGCCAGTGAAGTCAGAGGACCCTGACTTGCAATGGCTCTGGTTCCTGACAGTGGGAGTTTGTGTGGACTGGAAGGATTCAGCACAGGGGAAGGAGCTTTCCTCTTCTGGCTCACCTGAGTAATTTAAAGCCGATTGATCCAACTGCGTCACGGACACAGGACCTCTGGACACCTGGGCAAATGAGGCACTGTCATGCAACTGGGTGGGCTCAGGTCCCGTGGACTCTGCCATCCGGGTCTTGCTGCCGATGTCTGAGGTGGACCTGGGCAGGGTAGAGGGGCTCTGTGAGTGTGCCTGAGGCACTGGAAGGTCACATTGCACTTAGAAGTAGCCTCACGCCTTCCAGCCCCATCCTCATGAGGTCCTGGGACTGATTTGCCCCAATTAGTAAAAGGACTGCTGGTGGTGTCAATGTGGCTGGAGGTGCCCCAACCTGCAGCAGTAGGGCTGGGTGGTTCTTTTTTTTTTTTTTCTTTTTCTCTCCTGTTTGAGGTTAGTTCTCTAAGGATGGTTCTGGGTAGTAGAATATTTAATTTCCATGGAAAAGTAGAAAGGCAATTAATTCTGGGTATTAGCTGGGGATGGTAGACCTAGGAGGGGATGATACCAGCAAGAGCCAATGAGGTGGACAGCTTTACCTCTAAAGTGTATTCCTGGTCTAATGCTCTGGGAGGGGAGTGACATCCTCGTGTTGGTGAGGATGGCTGATGGTGTAGGAGGTGGGGGTGGGGACTGGCATAATAAATGAATAGATAAATGGTGTCATCAGCAAACCTGCCACAAAGGACCTCTAACCTGGAACTAACAGGAATAGCTCAGCCCCCTCCACCCTCACCCCAGCCCTGTGCTTCCTTAGGGAGGCTAGGGATATCTGACAACACCATTGGGTGGGATAGCCAGTGTGGGTGTCTTCATTTCTCAACCCTCCTTCCCTGCCTGTTTGCTCTCACAGTTCTGCTTCAGAAGACCCTTCTCAGGGAGGCTCCTGGATCCTGCCCCCCACACACTCTGATGAGAGCCCTTTCTGAGAAATCCTACAGAATTTACTGATAAGGGGCTAAACCAGGGCCCCAAGAGGCAAGGTAATCTGGAATCACACGGCAGACCTTTGGCAGATCAGCTTCTTACCACCTACCCAGGTTGCCGTTGGCCTCAAGGGGCGATGATGACAAGCCAGCTCAACACTGAACCATCAGGGCTGAAAACAGCATCTTTTTCTAGGGAAGCTCACTTATTAAAAAACAAAACTTCACAAAGTACATGCCTGTGGCCCAAAGATGCACTAACTAGTATGTTGGGTAGGTTGTAGGTCAGGGCCAGGACAGTGACCTATGCATTCCCCAGGACAGGGTCATCCTCTCCCTGGGTATCAGAATAAGTCCTTCCTTCCCCAGAGCTCCTGGTTTTTCTATTTCTTGTCCCACTTTATTAAAGATGTCCGCTGGCTACATCAATAAAAGACAAATAGAAGAGTTCAAAAATGTCCCATACTGAGATGCATGAGTTCAGCCTCTCTCTGTAAAGTCAAGTCAGGGAGTGGGTGCCCAGACCTACTCCGGGGTCCCTGAGACACTGCCCTATGAGTAACAAAGGGAATTGTGGGCATGCAAATTTGGCAGGAAGCAGCCACACCTATCATTTTCTTTTCTTCAAGGTCAGGGTGTAGGCAATCAAGGTACAGGGCAACCAACCTCCAGTGTCTTTGACTGTGGGTTCTCAGGAACTGTCTATTTAGAAAGACATGCAAATTGCTCAGCATGCGTTGTCCCTATTTCTTGATTCCTCTATGTTCCAGCCCATGGGACCACCTTGAAGAGGGACAGGAACCAATAAACTCACTTGAGTTTACTGGTGCAGCGTCCACAGGAGTCAACAGCCCTAGGGGTCAAATATTTTATAAATATCCCAAATAGAGTCAAGATAAGAAGATGTTACCGCCTGAGGGAAGCCACTGCCACTGGGCCTGTTCGGGGAGGAACAGGTGGCGGGGGAGAGCCCATGACCATTTCAGGAAGCTGAGAGAACCTGTAAGCCTGTGAAGAGACAAGCAAATTAGACTGTTGTTAAAACCCAATTCACTCAGCACACAGCTTCTTCTTTAAGGAGGAAGTGCACTTCCAAGGCCAGACTCTCCTTCCTCATAGGAGTTCCCCTAGATCTTCCTTCAGGCAGTCCCCAGCCTCATCCCACGCAGTCTCATCTCTTGTGGCTGACTTGCACGGACCCCTGCAGTCTGAGAGCCCCTCAGCGGCCTTAGAACACACCCTCCTTAGAACACAACACACAACACAGTACTGGTACGGGCTGCCTCTCCCTACTGCTGGAGTTCCTCCTGACGCTGCCCGTAGCTCCTTCTCACCATTCATCCTGTCCCACAATCCCCTAGAAGCCTCTTTCATCTGTCTAAGGAAATGACTACTCTCTGGCTAAATTATATGGCTGCTTGCTTATTTATTGTCTGCCACCAGCTAGACTGTAATCTGAGGTTTTAAGGGCAAGGTTCTGTTGTCAGTAATATCATGGCTGGAATAGTGCCCAATACATACGAGAAGATCAATAAATGACAGAGTGGAAGAGAAATGAATGACTCATTGGAGGTGGCTTCCTTTCTCATGGGACACAGGCTTAATGTGGGAAAGGAATGGATTGGGAGGCAGGAGGATCTGATGAACGGACTTAAACTCCTAGGTAACTCCTAGGTGACTTCTGTGGATTTCAATGTCCCCTTTTGAAGTGGAGACATTGATGCCGTGTGTAGAGGGCTTCTGAGAAGATTGGCAAGGGCCTGTGTGTGCACAGACTTTGCAACATACAAACGCACTTCTCACAGATAAGGGGTGGGCACTATCACCAAAGCAAAGACTTTAATCAACATGTGAGGAGCTAAAAGAAAGACAGGCAGATCAGAGAGGGTCAGGCCAAGGCCTACTGTAGTGAGAGAAAGTCTAGAGATGCTCTTGGGGTAGGCAAAGCTCAAGTCATTTTTTTAGGGCAGTGTGCTTGCCAGCCAGACTCTCACAGACATGATGGCTTCAAACCTCAAAGCTTCAGGATAAAATGCTGTGGCAAGGGGACTCAATAAACAGGATTCTTTGAGCTCAAAGAGGTCCCCTGCCCTCCTCTAGCACTACAAGCAAACAACCTACCTGCTAGGGCTAACCCATGTAATAGCAGCGAGGTCTGAGAGAAAACACACATTTTAAATGCACTGTGAAAACTGTGAGCTGTAAGGGAAATCTCTGAGGACAACCCCAGCATCCTCCCTCCTCTGCATCTCAGCAAACTAAAACAAAACTGTGAGCTGACACCAGATGTGGAGATAGTGAGCAGGAAGCACATGCAAAAGATGTGGCTGCCAAGAAGACAAGCTGGGCAGCCGAAGTCCGATTATGAGATCAGGCCTCTGCACGGGGCAAACGGAGGCAGCTGTGCCTGAGATATGCCTGAGATATCCAAGTGCCCAGCAAGTCTCGGCCTCTCTGTGGGAGCGGAACTGGTGATGTTCCAAGCCCAAGATGGAAACACCTGGACATTCTCTTTGGAGTGGAGCTTTCCCAAAGTAGGCTCACAGGATTAGCACAATTAAAAATTAAATAGGAGCTTGTATTACAAACAGTAGCTTACGAAATATACCAGAAGGGTAAAATGAAAGTCAGTACCAAAGAAGCAGACACAGACCTTTCAACACTTTCAAGTTTCAGCTGTCCAGACACAAAACAAGAAATAACATTGTAACAAATGTTTTTAAAGCATTTATTGACCCGGGCTGATGGCTCAATGGTTAGGAGCACACTCTATCCACAGGCTCCAAGTTCAATTCCCAGCACCCACATCAGGCGGCTCACAACTGCCTGTGACTTCAGCTCTAACACCTTTTTCTGGCCCTATGGGAACTGCATTCACATGTATAACAAATTCATATTCTCACATAACCCATATCACACAATTTAAAATAAAGATACATTTTTTGAAAAGTAATAACTGACAAAATTGGATTGTCACTAGGAATGATAGAGCACACTCAAAAAGCAACAACTTTCAGTTGTAAAACAGGATTCCTGGGATAAAGCACTCAGTTGTCAGGGGATTAAAGTGTACATTAAGAATTAATACACAGAGAATTAAGAAACTTGGAAATAGAACTGAGGAACTTAGTAAAAATGAACTGCAGAAAAAAAGAAAGGAAGGGAGAAAGGAAATTGAAAATACAAGAAGAAAAGACGCAGAGTTAGGGGACGAGCAGGCCTGACGTTAAGTCTAGGTGCGGAAGGGCAGAAGTGGGAGAACGGTGTTGAGTGACCTCCTACACTGCTTCCACTTTATCTTCTTAGGCAGAGTCTCCCACTGAACCCAGCAAGTGCGCTATCCACTGGGCCATTTTCACATATCTGTAAGACCATTTTGACAGACCTTAAGATGCACTCAAAAACAGCTTATCTGATTTGATCCTTCCCTCATTTCATGACGGCTCCTGGTGGAGCTCCTGGAACTCCAAGATTTATGGATGGATTGAAAACCATTGTCCTGGATGTCTTCCCAGCTGTACCTTCCACTATTCTCAACAGTTCTACAGTGAAGTGCTCCTTCCTCAAATAAAGGATGAGAAGCTCCTCTGTCTCTTCTGCTCTCTGATGCTATTCAGCAAAGAGGGCAGACATCTACTTTTATCTCTGGTTCTTGGGAAGCTTATTCTGTACCCACCATAGTTTGCCAGCCAAGAAAAAGCTTCCTATGCTGTCTAATACTAAATCACTAAAAGATTTGATAAAAAGTCCTGAACTTCTGTTGAGCATTAAAGGAGTCCCCTTTATTGGTAGGCATTTCCAGGCATAAAACACACAACTACACGGGAGAACAGACCCCACACTCTTGGGCTATGTTCTTAGAACTTTGGTAGTCACATAAACAGCAGTGAGGTAGCCATTGTCATGTGTGCATGAGCTAAGAAAATCTTCCTATACTTATTTCCCTCTGTGTAAGTTACAGAGGTTCTATGTGTCCTGTCTCCTATCACAGTCCCCTTTCTGGGTCCAGCATTTATTAATTTTGGTCCAGCATTTATTAGGTCTCATGTGATGGGGATCCACTTCCTCCTTCAATACTAGAAGCTATTATTCAAAACTCTTGATGGCCGCCAAGTTCCTAATTCCATAATCAAGCTTGTTGTGCTCAGCCTGGCATTCAAGAATACATCTTTTGGGTTTAGGGAGGGATCCTCTTTCCATGGACAGGAAAGGCTGGAGACTTAGAAGTGAAGGCAATCTTTATAAACGGGTCTCAGGTCTCCAAGGCTGAAAGAGGCTTTGTGTAATTAAATAGGGAAATCTTTAGTCTCAGAACTTTGATCGTAATGTGAAAAGAATGAAGGTGATGCTTCAGGCCCACCTGAGTTAGGGGTGAAGGATCAAAGGGAGCCATCTTCCCTAGAAATCTCTGTGGAGTGAACACAGGCAAGCAGGGACCTCCTATGAACATGCATCTACCAAAAAGGAGACAGCTGGAAATGCAAACCTCAAGGGTAGCACTATAGCAACAAAGGGTGGATAGGAGCTTCCTAATAGGAGTGGACTTGGGGTTCTTGGGCTTTGTATTAGCAGGGGAAGGTGGTAGACCCATAGGCCAAAGCTAAGCTGTCTTCATTAGAAGCTGCACCAGTCAGCCTTGCATTACTATAACTACTCAAGAGAATCTATCTATGATCCAAGAAAAGTTTTGTTCCTTTTATGTTTTGACTTGGAGATTTAGATGAATCAGAATATGGCCCAGTTGCATTGGTTTTGTGGTAATGCATCATAGGAGGTGTCTTCATGGCCTGGGGTGAAGGAGAGAAAGAGACTGGAGTTCCACCACTCCTTTTATCTGGCTACTTGAGAGCTAATGAGATGCTGGGGGTGGGGGTGTGGGGGGAATAAAGGTTTGCCCAGTTCCTGTAATAAACGAATCTGCTTTTGCTGCTTACCCACCTCCTAGAATCTGTGTCATTGACTCTGCGCCTTCTTACTCCCACTCCCAAGGGTCTTGGTCAGGGTCCCAAGCAATACTTTTAAAGGCATATCTCCAGTGATCTGAATATAACGCCTCCCCAGCTAGGCCTCACCTCTTAAAGACTCTGTCACTTATCAGTAGTACCGTGACCTGATCTAAACTACAGCAGAAAGCCTTGTCTAAGGTCCGCCATCCAGAAAAGCATCCGCTCTCTTCATATCCAGCTACAGGTAACTTCCTATAGATCGAGTCTTCTAGAAAGATAGTTCTGAGTTCTGATTTATTTGAAGACAGTGACTTGATGATTAAAATCTAACTCCAAGGAGAAACAAAGCACATTGTTTGTCTTGATCTATCAGACAACCAAGAGCAATGGATGGAACACTTCCCGAGAGCTATGGATGAGCATTGTCCAAGCTCTCAGTGCCACAAAGAGAGCAAGACACATCGAGGCCACTTTCTTTATTTCGATATATGAGAATACTGAAGGCCAGATAGGTCTACTGACGTGTCAAAAATCACACAGCTGATGAAGCACACTGTAATTCAGAGCTGAGGGGCAGGTAGTACATGGACATGGCTTTAAACCTGTGATTGGGTCTTAACTGATCCTTCACAGCTGCTCGGCCTCAGGTACCTTACCATCTCTTGCCTTCTGTCCCATTAGCATAGAAGAGAATGAAATCACACCACGATTTCAATGCTGTTTTTAATTTTTTTTTAAATTCACATGTATGCGTGTGTATGTATTGTGTGACTGTATGCCCTAGGCATTCAGGTGTCCAATGAAGCCAGAAGAGGGCATTGGTTCCTCTGGAGCTGGGATTCTAGGTGGTTGTGAGCTACCTGATATTAGTGTTTGGAATCGAACCTGGGTTCTTTAGAAGAACACCAGTCACTCCTAACCACTGAGTTCTCTCTTCAGCTCCTCGAAGCTGTTCTAAAGCTTTCTAACTTAATCTGAAATAACTAGGTACTCAGTAAGTAAGGAGGAGGGGTTATATAACCTTTAGGAGGTAGGGCTTAGCTGGAGGAAGTAGGTTGCTGA